AACCTCGTAGGCAGAGATACTAAGGTTCCATAAGAATCCTGCCAATAGTAAAGTTCATAAACAAGTTCTTTCTATCTGATGTCATGGGTATAAAATTTCAAGCACACTGACTTGAGCTCGTTGAAATATTCTGCCCTAGGGCCTGCACTGCAACCATGGCACACTCAAGTGGGACCAAATGCAGACCAGAAGGACCCTGCAGTGGCAGCCTGCTGCTGTTGCTGCTGCCGTGTGATATAGTCCACAACATGAGGCACGGACCCCATGACCACCACCCTGCCGCCATCCATGTATGCCGCCCCGTCTGCAAACTGTAGCTCCTCCAGCCGATGCGTCACCCACAGCGCTGTCACCCTCCGCCCCTGCCGCCCCGTCCTACTGCTGCTGCCTGCACTTCTGTCTGTGCTGCTGCTGTCTGTGCTTATGTGTGCGGTGTTGCTGCTGCCTGGGGAGCTGCCCGACACCACATTGCGCACTGCCTTGATGACTGCATACTGGCATTGGAGATGGGGAGCAGAGGGGGGTACAGCACGAGAGAAGCGGAGAGAAAGGGGCATGCTGACACATGGTGCAGTAACGACGCATGCCACATGCTGCACTGACGCATGCCACATGCTGCAGTGATGCATGCCACATGCTGCAGTGACGCTCGATAGACAGACTCCGCAATTGGAGCCATACAGGCCCCTGGCAACCAAAGTAAAAGAATTTCAAGTTTTGATAGCCTCTGAACGCAGAGAGAGGCACACAGACATTCCGAATGGTCCCCCTTTGAGAATGCCCATGGGGGAAAGCACGCAGGAAGCACAAAGGAGTTGGCAACAAGGAGGCGGAGGAGGGGAAGCAGGAAGCAGCGGACCTGGGGGGCGGAGTCGAGGAAGGTGGTGAGCTCGTCCAGCAGCAGCGTGAGTGTGAGGGGATGCTCCGCCAAAGCACAGGGGAGTTGGCAGGGAGGAAGCAACAGGGACTGACCTGGTCAGCGGCTATGTTGCGCCTGACGCCCTGGAAGGGCAGCGTCCAGCGTCCGGACGTGAATGTCCGGACGCTGGACGCGTCAAATCGGTTTGACGCTGGACGTTCGGGGAAAAAAAATTCGGGCAGCCCGAAAAAAAATTATCCTGCACGAAATTGACTCGCAATTTCATTGCGACCAGAATTGACGATGAAATTGCCATCTGGGGGCCGCGTTTTTGACCTAAAAAACGCAACCCTCACTTATTCCCCCCCACACATTTGTACCCATCCACATCTACCTCTCCCAACCTGGTCGACCCCCAACTAAACTAGAGAACCAGATCTAGGTCGACATTACCCAGATCTGTTTCTCTCGACATTGTCAAGCATTCCTTACACTAGAATTCGCCAGTCACGCTACTAAGCCTTCCTAGCTAAAATTAGGTTAAGGCGATTAAGATATCATGTCAACTCCTAGTCCCGCCAGTCATTCTGTTAGTGCCTCCACGCCTTCTGGAGATTTTCAGGATTTTCTGGATATTATGGAGTATTTATAACTATAGGTGACAAATGTTAACTTCTTGCATTCTAACCCCTGCGTATCCTTACTAGGCAGGTTTTTTTACCCCTGCCCGGAAAACATTTTTGCCCTGCCCGGACTAGCGTCAAGCGGGCGTCCAGGGCAGAGGGCACCGGGCGTCAAGCGTCTGGACGCCCCGTCCAGACGCCAGCGTCAAAAACGCCTGACGCGTCAGGCGCAACATAGGTCAGCGGAGTCAAGGAAGGTGGTGAGCTCGTCCAGAAGGAGCGTGAGTGAATCCCCCACCAGTGCTGCTTGTGTGACATTCAGGAATTCTCAAGATTGGCACAAGGAGTGCTGGCAGGGAGGACTAGGCAAGGATGACTTTTGAGGCGCCTCAAAAGCTGGCAGGGAGGACTAGGCAAGGATGACTTTTGAGGCGCCTCAAAAGCTGGCAGGGAGGACTAGGCAAGGATGAAGCGGCAGGGAGGGGGTGGCAGGGCTAGGACTGACCTGGTCAGCGGAGTCAAGGAAGGTGGTGAGCTCGTCCAGCAGCAGCGTGTGTGAATCCTCCGCCAGTGCCCCGGCAATTGCCACCCGCTGCTTCTGCCCCCCACTCAGCGTCGACACCAGGCGCTAGAGGGGAGACGAACAATGAGGGTAACAGAGAGAAACGGGTAATTGTCAGCGGATGGTTTTGAAGGAGGAGAGATGGACAGTCGTGTGAGTGGCATGGCATGGCATGGCATGGCATGGCATGGCATGGCATGGCATGGCATGGCATGGCACGCAATGCTTCTGCACACTGATAGAAACAAAGTGGGCCCCCACCGAGGAGCAAAGGGGACGCTATATCTGCTGCCAATGCCCCTGCGATGTGCACCCCTCTCCTCCATTTCTCCGCGTCAACCATAACTGTCCACTGTTTCGACTCTCACACGTTCGTAGGTTGACTTTTTAAGACGACTACAAGCCAGCTCACCCCCTCAACCAGCCATGACCACCGTTTGTGCCGTGATATGTTCCATTGGTCGTACTTACCGCTGCTCTCCGCCACTTTCCCAAACCTCCCTCACCTGCCCATACTCCTCTCACCTGCCCATAATCCTCTCACTCACCTGCCCACACTCCTCTCACTCACCTGCCCACACTCCTCTCACTCACCTGCCCACACTCCTCTCACTCACCTGCCCACACTCCTCTCACTCACCTGCCCACACTCCTCTCATTCACCTGCCCACACTGCATGGGATGGGAGGGTGGGAGGGCAGCACTCACCTGCCCATACTCCGCCATGCCAACGGCCTCCAGCACCTGCCCGTACTGCTCCCGCTCACCTGCCCAATACTGCACAGGTAGACGGGCGGGGCGGCCCTCACCTGGCCTGGTCGTCACGCCCTCACCTGCCCATACTCCGCCATGCCAGCGGCCTCCAGGGCCTCTGCCAAGCGCCGCTGCATACCTTTCAGCCTCCCCTCGCCAGCACCAGCAGAAGCACCGCGCACAGCACACTCCTCTCACCTGCCCACACTCCTCTCACCTGCCCACACTCCTCTCACCTGCCCACACTCCTCTCACCTGCCCACACTCCTCTCACCTGCCCACACTCCTCTCACCTGCCCACACTCCTCTCACCTGCCCACACTCCTCTCACCTGCCCACACTCCTCTCACCTGCCCATACTCCGCCATGCCAACGGCCTCCAGGGCCTCTGCCACGCGCCGCTGCACCTCCTCCTCTGGCAGCGGCGGGTTCAGCCGACCCAGCCCGAACGCCACGTCAGCATTCACAGTTGGCATGATGACCTGGCAGCAAGGGCCAAGTGGGTGGAGGGAGGGATAGGGAGAGGAGGGGCATGGATGGAGGCATGGTGGGGAAGAGAGGTGGAGAGGGGGGTTTGAGACGACATGTGGGCGTGAGTGGGCAGCAGCGCGACAGCGTGGCGATAGTGGCCCGTCAGTCACCTGCGGCAACACCTGACACCCACCTCATAGTCAGCACATGCCAGGCGGTCACCGGTCACCTGGCACCCACCTGGCACCCACCTGATCACACCTGGTGGTCGGGGTTCTGTCACCTGAGCATACCTGGTGGTCGGGGTTCTGTCACCTGAGCACACCTGGTGGTCGGGGTTCTGGAAGACGAAGGAGCGAGGTGCATCCACTCTCAGCCGCCCACTGTTGGGCTGCAGCAGCCCCGCTAGTACCTGCTGGGGGGGAGAGGGGGGACAGCACAGTGCAGAGCGATGTGGCATGATGCAGAGAGGTGCATCCGGCCGAAATCCCCACCTTGATCAGCGTTGACTCTCTCCCACCTTGACCAGGGTTGACCTTTTCTCACCCACCTTGAGCAGCGTTGACTTGCCACACCCGTTGGGTCCCAGTAGCATCCACAGCTGCCCTTCGGGCACACGCAGGCTGCATTCTCGCAGCACCTGCATGCATCGATATTCACGGATTCGGTAAGTGAAATTGGGATTTGGTAAGTCAAAGTCAGCAGACGAATCAGCAACATCCACAGCTGCCCTTCAGGCACGAGAAGGCACCACCTGCGCGCGCCCCAGGCTCAGGCTCAGCCCCTCCACGTCGATCGCCGCGCGCCGCCCCGAGCTCCCTCCGCTCTCGCTCTCGTCGCTGCTGCTCGCTGCCGCGTAGCCCGCGGTCGCCGTGACAGTCGCCGTGCGACGGCTGCGATAGGATAAAGTTCGTCTGGCGACGCCGCGTGCGACGGAAGGGGGAGAAAAGGCGGAGGTGGACGGCGGGAGCGGGCAGGCAAGAGTGTGCTCGTGGCGGAGGAGAGCGGCGGCGGGAGCACATGGGGCGGAGACAGGATGCGCGGAGGCGAGGTGCGCGGCGGCGACGAACGGACGGTCCATAATGCGACAGCGCGTACACGACACGATGCTGATGCTTCCTGGTTTAGCCGCACATTTCCCTAGGGCATTCACGAGTCTTAGAGTACGCGCTGTAGGGTGTGTAGGGAGTTCAAAATGGGTAACATATAAATAAGTGAAACCCATCTTAGCATAGTTTTCAAATCAGTGGAGCCATATATTCGCTTATCCGTCGTTTGACGCGGTTCAGTGCGTTGAACCACATTTAAGAGCGGTTATTTTATTTTAACGCATTAAACCATCGCGGATCAGTTTGAACCGAGAGGAAAACTCACGCCCTGAATACCCCAGCTGACTTGCGCTCCAACAGCGAAGAACCCACGGCTCTTTCTTGCTTGGCACATGAACTCGCGCCTCGCGTTCCAGGTGGTAGCCCGCAGAGCATTTAGTTCTTCGTTCCAGAACCGGGTGACCGCGCATTCGTGTTACCTCCGAGCGTCTATCGCACCCGCAAGTCGTGCCGATTGTTATTAGGACCTGCTTTAGGAACCACTGAGGAGCCATCTTCGTCGCTGGTTCCCACGACCGACAGTGAAGGTCACCTCGTCTGCCTCGCTTTTTTCAGTGGTTAGGGCTCGTTTCGCTCTTCGTTTCTATCCGCCTCGCATTCTCGCCGTGCGTTAGCGTCCCGCCATGTCGGTGGCGGCAGGCGTCAGCGATGCGGCGATTGCGATCCGGGAGAAGCTTCGAGGAAGGATCGCGCAGACGAAGGTGAAGCGGTACTGGCCGGGAAAGGCGCCGGAATGGGCGGACGACGCGGAGGAGGCGCGCGGGGGCGTGTTCGGGGAACCGGAGGACGAGCGGGAAGAAATCGGGGACCGGCTGACGCGCGTTAGGGTTTCCGAGAACGACGCGCGGCTCCGGCGATTAGGAGAAAGCCGGCGCGACAGGGAGGAGGCCGTGGCGCGGCATCGGGAGATCCGTGCGGCGGAGATTGTCTCGACGCGGGAGGAGGAGGAGAGGAAGCAGCAGGAGCGCGAGGAGGAGGAGGAGGAAGAGGAGGATGAAGACGCGATCGAGGAGCGACGGCGGAGGATACGCGAGAGGCTGTTGCAACGGCAGAGGGAGGAGGAGGAGCTAGCAGCGTTAGGGGAGGGCGAGGAGGAGGAGGAAGAGGAGGAAGAAGAGGAGGAATCGTCTGAGTATGAGACAGATTCGGAGGAGGAAGGGGGCGGTATGGCTATGATAAAGCCTGTATTCGTTCCCAAGGGCGAGCGCGACACGGTTGCGGAGCGCGAGCGCGTGGAGCAGGAGGAGCGCGATTTGGAGGAGGCGGTGCGGCGGCGCGTGGAGGAGCGCAAGGCGGAGACGCGGCGGCTCGTGGTGGACGACGTGCGGCGCGAGGAGGAGAAGGAGCAGCGGCGCGCGGAGGACGGCGGCGGCGCGGAGGGTGACGGCGCGGGGGCGGCGGCGGAAGACGTGGAGACGGACGACGAGATGGACGCGGAGGAGGAGTTCGAGCGGTGGCGCGCGCGCGAGAAGGCGCGCGTGCGGCGCGAGCGCGAGGAGCGCGACGCCGTGGCGCGGGAGAAGGAAGAACGCGAGCGGATATCACGCATGACCGAGGAGGAGCGGCGCGAGTGGGAGCGGCGCAACCCCAAGGCGGCGCCCGCGGGCAAGACGAAAACGAAATGGAAGTTCATGCAGAAATACTACCACAAGGGCGCGTTCTTCCAGGCTGGCGCGGACGACAAGGGCGGCACGGCCGGCACGGACGAGATCTTCACACGGGATTACTCGGAGGCCACTGGGGAGGACCGGCTGGACAAGAGCGTGCTGCCCGCCGCCATGCAGGTGAGGGCGATTTGTGCATGCAGGTGAGGGCGATTTGTGCATGCAGGTGAGGGCGATTTGTGCATGCAGGTGGGCGTGCTGTGTGGGGTTGGTGCTGGTGCTGGTGCTGGTGCTGGTGCTGGTGCTGGTGAGCTAGAGCAAGGTAGAGCAGTTGGGCGGGCACACGGCGAGCGAATGAGAAGGGGGCAATGGGTGTTGTGTGCTCGCGGGAAGGGGAGCTGGGAGAAAGGGAAGTTGGGTGAATTGGGTATAGGGTGGGAATGCAAAAGGGTAGGGTAGGCTGGTGGGGGGGTGGTGGGGAGGTGGTGGGGAGGTGCCTGGTTGGGGAGGGGGGCGCTATGTGTGGCTGAGAAGCAAATTTCTCAGGCGGGTTGACTGCAGCCTTGGCACTCGTATGGCTCTCTACATTTCCTCAGCTCCTCTGCTCCTCTTCCCATGCTTGCTTCCTCTCTTTGTTTCCTCTCCCCACACCATCTCAACTCCTCCCTCTCATCCCCATGTCCCGTGTGCCTGTGTGTGTGCCTGTGCGCCCTGCGTGCCATGCTGTGCCATGCGGTGCTGTGCGGTGGTGGGTGTGTGGAGAGCAGGTGAAGCACTTTGGGCGCAGTGGGCGGAGCAAGTGGACGCATCTGGTGAACGAGGACACCACCCAGCAGGACTCCCCGTCAGTACCTCCTGCCTTCAACCCCACTCCTCCTGCCCCCATTCCTTGCCGCCATTCCCTGCCCCCACTCCCCACTCCCTGTCCGCTTCACTCTCCATCATCGATTGCTTCCGCATTCCGAACATGCCTGTTTTCTGACTTTCAACCATACCCACACATCCACGGTGCTTTGCGCCTCGCCACGACCCTTCTTTCCTTGGCTTCTCCCTCTCGCCCCGGGCAGGTGGGCATACAACGATGCACTGAGGGCGAGGTACAACAACAAGATGGCGGGGATGGACAAGGCCTCCCCTCCATCTTTACCCCACACTACCCCCTCTCTCCCATCTCCCGCTCTCCCTTGTCGCTCCCCCCTGCCAGGTGGGCATACAACGATGTGTTGAAGGCGAGGTACAACAACAATATGACGGCCAGGGCAGTGGGCAGGCGAGCCAGGGCAGTGGGCAGGCGAGCCTGCGCATCTGCATTCGCTTGTGCCTCACCCCCACCACCCCCTCATCTCTCACTCCCCTTCCTCCCCTCCCCTTCCCGGGTAGGTGGGCATACAACGATGCGTTGAGGGCGAGGTACAACAACAAGATGGCGGGGATCGACAAGCCGTTGAAGAAGCCCAAAGGGGGCACATACACGTCTTCCATACCTCACCTCCACCACACCTCTGTGCCCCTTCCCCTCCATCTGTCAGGTGGGCATACAACGATGCGTTGAGGGCGCGGTACAACAACAAGATGGCCGGGATGGACAAGCCGCTGGAGAAGCCCAAGGGCAGCAAGAAGCTAAAGAACGCACTGCAGAACCCGTGAGAGGGGCACCAGGCGTGCTGCTTTGCGGCGCCCCTCACCCCGGCTACGTCAGGGAGATGCTGGCCATGCCCAGGCTGGGCATGCTTGCTTGGTTGGATTGCTTGATGTGTTTTGTTTTGTTTTTCCTCTATGGCGCTGCTGCTCCTTGTTGTAGCTGGCAATTGGTTGCTGAGGTTAAAGGCTATCTGATTGCGTCTTCACTCCTACCCGAGTGGAGCTTCCTACCTAAAGCAGCTCACAGCTTTTTTTGCGCACTTGCAGCACCACAAGCATGTGTCTCTCGGGAATGAAATGGATAGCATCGTTCTGCACATTGTGAGATGGATCAACAAGCTAATCTCACATCTCAATAGCAATGTGTCCCTAACCTGGGTGTAGCAGTGTTAGAAAGGGGAGAGCACCGTATGAGTGCACTACGAATAGGTTGTGCGCGTAGTGAGCAAGCTAAGTAATCGGCACAGGATGAGCCGGAGCGCAAGGCGCTAGAGCCAAGAGCCAAGAGGCAAGAGGAGGCGCTAGTCCTCGAACCAGCTGACAACGGCTCGCGTGGCAGAGGCAATGAGGGAGGGGATGAGGACGAAAAAGGTGATGAATGCCATTGCCGTGGCAGCCTTGGTGCGCGCACAGAAGCTGGAGAACAGCCCCATCTGCATGGCGGGCAGGAGCCGTGGGGGGGAAGCAGCGGGGCATGCAGGCAGGCAGGGGAGAGCAGGGCATGAGGTTTGGGTGAAAGCACTGATGGTGGCTGGTGGCCTTGGTGCGCGCACAGAAGCTGGAGAACAGCCCCATCTGTGCTCAGACAGTGAAGTATGCAGGAGCAGTGATGTACGCATGCCCAAAAGCAAGGGAGAGCTTGCAGCAAGTCGGGTTAAGGAGGAAAGTGTGGAAGATGGGGGTGTGTGTGTGGGAAATCACTCCTGAGAACGTGATTTCGAGACGTCTCAAAACACTCCTTCTTTCACGGGGTGTGTGTGTGGGAGTTGACTTTTGAGTCGACTCAAAAGTCAACGGGGGGTGTGTGTGTGGGAAATCACTTGTGAGAACGTGCTTTCTGTGCAGGAGGAAGGCATCGTGCAGCTGATGACGCAAAAGTGTGTGATGTCTCTAGTTTTTCGGCCTGCCTCAAAGCCAATCAGAGGGCATGGGGGAAAGCACCTGGAACTACCTCCCTGCACCACTCCCCACCCACCTGGCAGTACCCTGGCTGCACCATCCCTGATCCCTTGTCGGCAAAGCTGGTGAGACCCGCTGCAGCAGAGGCACCGGCCAGAGCGATCCATGCCACGAGCTGATTGGGGGACAGGGGGGTACACAGTGGATGGATGGGGCACAGGGAGTGGGGATGAATCCGCAGGTTACAGGCAATGCCAGGCAACTTTCGAGTCACCTCGCTGCAGCAGAGGCGCCAACCAGAGCAATCCATGCCACGAGCTGCTTGCAGCACAGGGGGGACGCGGTGGAGAGATGGGGCACAGGGAGAGGGCACCTGAAAGTTGCTGATTGGTGCAATGACTTATGAGGCGGCTCAACAGGCGCTGCCGCAGAGGCGCCGGCCAGAGCTATCCATGCCACCAGCTGCTCGAGCCTTAAAGCAGAGCAGGGCGAGCAATGGACGTATGTGGCACACACATTGAGTGGGTGGGAGCAGCGGGTGAACCATCCCATCCGGCACCCGTGCACAAGGGTGGTTTGAGAGTACGTGAAAACTCGTGTTTGTGCCGTGCAGCACTGGGATGCACAGGCAGCCGTGCAGCACTGGGATGCACAGGCAACGCCGCAACGCTTTCTTATGAGCCTCAAAAAGCAGCTGGTGACGCCAGGCACACGTGCGTATGGGTGGTTTGCGGGTTGAGGGTTGAAGTCATATGAGGTGTGTGGGTGCGTATGGGTGGTTTGCGGGTTGAGGGTTGAAGTCATATGAGGTGTGTGGGTGCGTATGGGTGGTTTGCGGGTTGAGGGTTGAAGTCATATGAGGTGTGTGGGTGCGTATGGGTGGTTTGCGGGTTGAGGGTTGAAGTCATATGAGGTGTGTGGGTGCGTATGGGTGGTTTGCGGGTTGAGGGTTGAAGTCATATGAGGTGTGTGGGTGCGTATGGGTGGTTTGCGGGTTGAGGGTTGAAGTCATATGAGGTGTGTGGGTGCGTATGGGTGGCGACCAGCAGAGGAGGATAGTGTGAGGAGGCCGCTATGAGGTGAGTGGTGTAGGGAACGCGGGCAGCTCGGCACGCGAGGCAGTAGTGGGCACAACACGTTGCAGGACAAGCAAGAGGGATGGCAGACACTGACAATGTCGAGTAGGGCGAAGAGCGTGAACAAGTGCATAAGGTGTGTATTTCATTCCCGGTACATCAAAAGAGCACTGTAGGGCGAGGGGAAGGGAGAGCCGGCACTGACGAAGTCGAGGAGGGCAAAGAGAGAGATGCGCCACTTGCGGGGCATTAGTGCTTCAAGTTCATCATGTGTGCATTTTATTATGGAGCGAGGGGGAAGGGCGGCAGGCAGGGCACTGACGAAGTCGAGGAGCGCGAAGAGAGTGATGCGCCACTTGCGGGTCATGAGGCGACCAATGGAGTGCAGCAGATGGGCGAGGCACCACGCTGCCACCGCTGTCATTGCCGCCACCATGAATATGAACGCCTGTTTGACGGGGTGGGTGCGAGGGAGAGGGTGGGGGGTGAGGAATGAGGGGGGTGGGGAGCTTGAGCCGTCTCAAAAGTCGCCAAGCACCGTGCTGCTACTGATGTCATTGCTGCGACTCTGACGATGAACGCCTGCGTGGTGGGGTGTAGGAAGGAAGGAGGGGGGCGAGAGGGGACATTTGAGATGATTAAAGTAGGTGTCATGTCAAGCACCATGCTGCTACTGCCGTCATCGCTGCTACTGCCGTCATTGCTGCTACTGCGGTCATTGCTGCTACTGCGGTCATTGCTGCTACTGCCGTCATTGCTGCTACTGCCGTCATTGCTGCTACTGCGGTCATTGCTGCTACTGCCGTCATTGCTGCTACTGCGGGGTGGGGGAAGGAGGTAGAGGGGGAGAGAAAAGATAATACGTTTCAAAAGGCGTGAGACACCACGCTGCCATTCCACGGCTGCCAGTGCCACCACCACAGCTGCCATAGCTGTCGCTGCCATTCAACGGCTGAGAGGTGGAGGAACAAGTAGAGAGGGGAGAGTGAGGGAGGAGAGGATTGCGGGAAGGGAGGAGTGAGGAGCGGGGAAACGGAGCTTGAGACGTCTCAAAGAACACGAGGCACAATGCTGCCACGGCTGCCATTCATGGTCGCGGCATTCATGGCATGCCCCGACCATGAGCATGAATGCCTGCGAGGTGGGGAAAGGAGGTAGGGAGGCGGGAGTGAGGGGGGTGGAATACGAGGGAGTTGAGACGGTGCGTAAGCCCCCAGACACACACACACACACACACACACACACACACACACACACACACACACCCCTGCCAGCCACCCACTGCTGCCATGGCTGTGACGATTGAGATGAACGCTTGACCTGAGGGGGGAGGAGGAGGGAGAGGGGGGAGCGGGAGTGAGGGGGGTGTAATACAGACCTGCCCATACACACACACACACACACACACCTGTCACCCCTGTCATGGCCGGACAATTGAGATGACCGCCTGAAGGGGGAGGAGGGAGGAGGGAAGTCGGGGGGGAGGTAGAGGAGGAAGGGGGACGAGGTGAAGCGGAGGCAGTGGGGATGGTGTTGTGGTGTGGTGCAGGCGGCCGTGCTACCATGGGCGTCAGCATGCAGATGAGCTTGTGGCGGATGGGGCGCGCATGGGTGCGCATGGGTGCGCATGGGTGCGTGCATGGTGGTGGAGTGGAGTATCCACGTTGACTTCATGGCAATGCATGGTGGCGATTAGCAAGGCAGGCAGCAGAGGTAGATGGATGGATGGATGGATAACGCTGTGATGGCGGCGTCCACCTGTGACGAAGCAACACATCGCCTGCACATACTATGCAGCAGTGCTCACCTGGCAGCACCGTGCTGACGTGGCAGAAGCAGCACAGTACGCACCTGGTAGTATTGGAAGTACATGCCGTTGGTACTTAGTGCAGGCATATCAGTCAGGGCAATTACAGCTGTAGCCAGCTGCAGCAGCACGGACGCACCTGGTAGTATTGGAAGTACATGCCATTGGCACTGGAAGCAGTCATGACAGCCAGCGCAATGATAGCCGTCGCCAGCTGTAGCAGCCGCCAGAAGATGGTCTGCCCGCGCGCAAAGATCCGAGTCTCGCCGCCCAGCCCGCCGCCCATCTCCGCCAGCTTCTCCGAACGAGCTGGGTGGGAGGGATGGTGGAGTGAGACAAAGCGGCAAGCAGGAGGGCGGAGGAGTTGGGTGGGAGGAGCGAGCGGGGCACAAGGGCCTAGTGCAGAGAGTCGTGTGCCTTGCCTTGGAGCAACTCTCCTTACCTTGGGGCGCTGTGTGTGTTCACGCTGCTGCCTCTCTGCATGCTCAGAGAGGTTATCATCGTGAGCGGTGAGTAAGGCACTGTAGACTTGTTTTGAGACGTCTCGAAACAACTCTTTATCACAATGTTATAATCGTGAGCAGTGAGGCACTGTACACTGTACACTGCTCACACCACGGGCCACACCCAACGCCACCAACCGCTGCTGGCCTGCCATGTCAGCAGTGGCAGCTCTTGCGTTACTTGGTTACCAGGCTACAAGCCCCACTGTGCTTGATGCTAACTCACCCGCGGGGCGACTTGCGGGGCGACTCGCGGGGCGACCAGCGGTGGCGCGTGGGGGTGACCCTCCTACAGCGCCGCGTGGCGGCGAGCCTGCTGACGTGGACAGCGGAATGGGTCCACGTGGCGGCGAGCCTGCTGACGTGGAGAGCGGAACGGGTCCACTTGGCTGCTGTCCCCCTTCCTCCAGTATCCCTCGCCGCCCTAGTGACGTGTCATACGCCGCCATGTCCGCCGCACCGTGTTATTCCTCTCCGCTCTCCGCGCTAGCCTGCTACCACTCTCGAGAATTGCTAAACGCGATACAAGGCTGCTACCGCTGTCACGCAAGATGCGACGGCTCAGTGAAGCGACGGCTCAGCGAGAAAACAGCAGTGAAGCGGAACGATTGAGGTAAAGCGAACGGGAAAAGAGGTGCGAGTAGCGAAAGGGTGTTGTTGATGGAGGCTCAACACGGGGACGGCTGGAAACGGGACGAGAGGGTGGAGTGGAGGCATGGCATACGACGGACGGAGGCAGGTGCGCGCAGGCAGGCACGCGGAGGCAGACACGACACGCGAGTCGTGAGATGCGAGCGTGACCGCATCGGCAGGGGAGACAAGAGGCGGTAGGGCGCACGGCGGTGTGGCACGAGGCGGCGCGCGGAGGGTGCGAGCGAGCAAAAATTCTTTGAAGAAGCTTTCGCTCCCCAAGCTCCCGTCGAGCATCGCGCGGGTCGCCGCGGAGGCAGAAGGTGCGGGGAGGTCGCGCAGGTAGCCGGGGAGGGGGCACCGCACAGCATCCTTGCGGGAAACGAGCAGGCAGAAGGTGCGGGGAGGTGCGCAGATACGGCGGAAGGCGGGAAGGTCAATCGGCGGGGGAGTGCGAGCGGGATGGGCAGGACGCCAGCTGGAGCAGTAGTGAGTGGGTGCCGCGTGGTGGGCGGGAGAGGCAGCGCGTTGCGCCGTGCGGGGTCGCCGAGACGTGCATGTTGCTCTGCCGTGCCCCCCTTGCGGTGACTCCCAGAATCGCCGAGACGACGCCCTGCGACCTTCCTGGTGGACGACAATGCGAATAAAAAGCCGTCTATAGCGAGCATCAGAATCTGGCTCCTATTAGCATTTCGGTTATTATTAGTAAAAACACAAATAAAAAACATCAAAATACACTATCCATTCATGGATTTTAACGATATTTACAGATTTCACAACAGCATGAAAGGCCATTTTATTCAGGCGACTAGCAGCTGCAGCGCCCGGTCGCGGTCGTTGCCACAGAGGGCCAGACAGCCCGCCACGGCCACCGGGTCAAAACCCATCTCTCTTAGCAACGTGTATGCATTGCAGAAATCCACCACCTGGGGGCATGGGGGCACAAGAAGGGTGGGGGGGAGAGGGACAGAAAAGGAAGACGGGCGAACGCGGGGGGAAAGGGGACAAGGGGAGGAAAGGGGGACACAGTGGGGAGGGAAGGGGGGACACGGGGGGGCAACATGGGGGACATGGGTGGCCGTGTAAAAACCCATTTCTCTCAGCAACGTTTATGACTAACAGAAGAATATCACCTGGCAGCACGGATGGCACGGGGCCATGGGTGGCATGCGATGGGACAGTGGTCCCCATTCAGCAAGGCAGGCATGGTGCTGACAAGACAACCAGGGCACGTGACAGCATTCTCACTCTCATCGCATTGCTGCCAGAAAATGAAGAAGCTTCAGTGGTTTCTGTAATGTGTGTGGTCAGAATACCACCAAGATCATCCCCCACTCCAAAAGCATGCACTCGTGGGAGGAAGGAAGGTAATGTGCGAGAGCGAGAGGAATGGCGAGAACCCTGTTCCAAATGGTATTCCTTGTTACCTGTGAGTGAGAGTCGCCGTGCATGGTGAGTGCCATGATGACTGCCTCTCTGTTCATGCCCATTTGTATGTACTTGCTGGCCCGTGGGTCCACCTGATGGGGAGGAAGTGGGGAGGGCAAGGGCAGGGGACAGGGGGAGTGGACTCTCCTGCCTCTCTGTCCGTAACCCCACCTCTCACTTCACCGCCTCTGATAACCACTATGCAACTGGCGCCCTCGCCCCACGCCCACACCTCTCGCTTCAAGGACACTCTGGTGCGCTCGTGCAGCGCCGACGCCTTGGACAGCAGCTGTCTCTGTGATAACAGTCAACTCAGAACACACACAGCTAACCAGTGTGCAACTAGCCGCCCTCGCCCCACGTCCCCTCCCCCCCACCTCGCGCTTCACGGCCACGCTGGTGCGCTGGTGCAGTGCGGAAGCCTCGGACAGCAGCTGCTTCTGTGGCTTGTGTCAACTCAGAACACACAAGGCTAACATAACCACTATGCAACTAGCTGTCTTCACAGGCCCCACCTCGCGCTTCACAGCCACGCTGGTGCGCTGGCGCAGTGCCGACGCCTCAGACAGCAGCTGCTTCTCCACGTCGAAGTCAAACGCCGCTGCGCTCACTGCCACTGGTTGTACGGGCGCTAGTGGGGGAGGCTGCATGGAGAAGAGGGTAGGGTGGAGACGGAAGGTTATTGAGTCGACTCAAACGTCACCCTAGACAGCAGCTGCTTCTCCACGTAGAAGTCAAACGCCGCTGCGCTCACCGGCACCGCCTGCACTGGCGCTAGCGGGGGCGGCTGTGAGGAGGGCGCACAGGGTGGAGAATATAGGTATTTGAATCGACTCAAGCGTCACCTCGGACGGAAGCAGGTGCTTCTCTTTTCCACGTCAAAGTCAAACGCCGCTGCTCGCTGCCATCACCTGCACTAGAGCTAGCCGGGGGGGCTGTCAGTGGGTAATACAGGGTGGAGAGGGATGGAAGTGTGGAGGAGTTGTGAGGGTGAAAGGCCACGTTGGAGGAAAAGGCAGAGGGAAACGGAAGGCAACGGGAAGGCGGGGTGCGATGGCGAGGGGAGGTGGTAACGTGCAGGTTGACTGGTGGAAGGGAGACGACATCAAGAGGTGGAAGGGAGACGACATCGAGAGGTGGAAGGGAGACGACATCAAGAGGTGGAAGGGAGACGACATCAAGAGGTGGAAGGGAGACGACATCAAGAGGTGGAAGGGAGACGACATCAAGAGGTGGAAGGGAGACGACATCAAGAGGTGGAAGGGAGACGACATCAAGAGGTGGAAGGGAGACGACATCAAGAGGTGGAAGGGAGACGACATCAAGAGGTGGAAGGGAGACGACATCAAGAGGTGGAAGAGAGACGACATCAAGAGGTGGAATGGAGACGACATCAAGAGGTGGAAATGGGGCGCATGAATCTGAGGTAAGGGAGTAGGCGAGAGGGAAAGACGGCAAGACACCACAGAGAAAGGAGGAGAAGAAAGTGACGCGAAGGTGCGAGGAGAAAGGAGAGACGACCGCGGATTGATGCATCGGAGGTTCACGTGAGAAGGGGGTGCGGCGCAGAGTGGTGCAGAGTGGTGCCTAGGCGCTCACCTGTGCGACCCGCAGCTCTGTCTTGATAGCCATGGCGATGGGCGCCGGGCCTGCACGCATGGCAGGGGGGGAGGCGCACCACAAGGGAGGTGAGGGTTGAGGGGGGTGTGCGTTGATTGAGGTGTGATTAGAAAGCAACGAGTTCAATGAGGTGGATTTCTGAGAGTTGTGGGCTCAGGATGTGGCTACGGGATATGTGAGTGTACGCAGTGTGAGTCTAAGCTGCGCGCATACGGCACCTGCAGCAAGCGCTGGCGCTCCGCCACCTGTGCCGTGTCCGCCCATTCCGCCCATCCCGCCCAAGCCCCCGGTAGGCGCGCCTGCGCCGACGGCCGTCACGACCGGCATGTGGAGGGACGTGCCGCCCCCGCCGGAGAATGGGGCCGCGGACGGCACGGGGTGCGCCACGCGCGGGTACATGGCGGCGGGCCCGCTGCCGGAAGGGGCTGCGCGGCGGTCGTATGCGCCGACGGCGGGGTACGCAAAGTCGCGGCCGGGGGGAGCCTGATGCGCGGACATGGGATGGCGCGCGGAGCCGACGAATTGCGGAAGTCGGCAACGATTTGGGCGGACCAGCTACCGCGCCGAGCTACGCGCTAATCTGACTCAATTGGCTGCGCTCCCAGGAACGGTTTCGCAGCGGCGTGGACTCAAGATATGCGTTCGAATGTGGCTGGCAGTCCTCACAGCTAAGTGGTGTTACACACTGAAGTATTGGGAGGTACGTAGGGGTTGGTCCCACTGACACGTAAGAGACACGGAAGGCCGGTTTAGTTCATGTCCAGAGCTCGTTTAGCGCGGTTCAGAAGTACGGTCCGCCATGAAATCTACCCCACAGCTCACAATTTGGAACAAGGCAAGGCACGAGTAAAAGAAGCACCGACCTCCAAGATACAATGACCCACTCATTTTCTCATGTGCCATGGATGGCTGCAGATATTCAACCTAGATTGACTGATGTTAGGGCTCCAGAACTCGTAGCTGTTATTTATTTAGTTACCATTATAATCAGATCTATTACATTTGTTTAACAAACTATATCTCATGTTGTTTCCTCGTATTCATTCAAGAAATATAATGTTCTTGTATCGTGTGAGTTTTATAGCAGAAGGAGCTGTTCTCTTAACCTTCTTATCAGAACGCTCAATAAAGTGGATATATTCGTCTCTATTACCCCTTTCTCGGCAGTCCCAATGCCTTGCAGCTGGAGCCAGCCACAATACTCATGTTCCTCCTCCAGCGGCAGATCTGTCGCCGAGATCCGTCGCACAGCGCTCGTTCACTATGTGACGAAGGCTCCATATGCGCGCTAGTAGTAACAGTCGCAGTAACATTCGCTAGTAACAATCATGGTAACACTCGCTGCTACCATATTCGCGTTAGCAGATAGCTTGCGAAGACGACGTGGCGCCAACGAAATGAGGCGTTTCGACTACGCACGAAAGTGAATCCCGAACCACCGTTCGTTCGCCAGATCCGTCGCGTGCGGCAGTGCCATGGCCTTGCGAAATGTTTTGCCTTCGCTGGCCGGTCCGTTGGTTTCAACTGTTGGCGGGAATGTACCTCAGGCGACTCGACGAAGCACGAGTCTGAAACCCCAATCGAGACCGCCTCGAGAATGGGTGCGGCGACCCTTCCCCGTAATTTCGACCCATTCTAAAAGCATCTGACGTGGCGTGCAGCGCAGGAACCAGCGAGGCAGGTCGAGGATGAAACTCCAATGGACAGGCAGAGGCGTGGAGGCGCGGGTTTGAGCGGAGTGGAATAGAAAAGGGGTCGCCAGGATTCCATCTTTTCGTTCACACATCCTCCTCTCCTGATCTGCTGATATTGCTCTTGGGATCTCCGGATCTGCTCGTTCAATACTCCTGGTCTTCATCTGCTGAATTCTCAACACTCGCAGCTTTCAGATATTGTTGCTGTCCTCGTACCAAGCTTCTGTGAAGCGACCTGCCATCTAAAACCATGGACTGCTGCCTTGTTAACAACGGAATGGCGAAGAGCTTCAACTCGGGATCTTCGTCCTCAAGTCCTGCCACGCCTACCCGAGGCATTGGCAGGTTCGGCACGCCTCGAACGGTGTTCTCGCCTGCAGCGTCATACTCTCCGATGAAGGCTGCCGTTGACAAGATGGCTGATCTGCAACTTCCTGCTGCTGCTCGCAACGGCGACGGTGAGATGTTCTGCAGCAGCGTGCTTCTGAAGAGCGTGAGGCCGCTGCTGGAGAATCTGGCGAAGCACGGAAGTGCGTCATCCTCCCAAAGCCTCGCAGACGGCCAGCACAAGCCCATGAAGGTGCACTTGGCGGACGCACCTGATGTGAAGCGGCCTGGAATCGGCCGCTTCGGAGGCAAGAAAGCTGCTGCCGTGCTTGCACCTGTGGTCGTCCCTGCTTCTCCCTTCTCACCATCTGCTGCTGCTGCAGTCACTCCGTCTGCTGTGGTTGCGCCGGTGGTGGTGCCTGAGGTAACTCCTGCGGCTACAGTGGCTTCAACCACACCACAGGTGCCTGAAGCGAGTGTGAAAACAGAAGCAATGTCCGAGGAGGCGAGTGCACGTGCTGCTGTTCCGAGTGAGAAAGCGAGGTGGGCGAAGCTTCGTCAGGAGGTTCAAGCTATGGGTATTGCGCTGACACGTGCTGCTTACCTGAGGTGGGACAAGCGGAGCAAGGAGCCATCATGGGCCATGGAGATTGAAGCGGCCATTGAAGCCGCCCTGCGTCCCTGCTTTTTGCCCAAGCTTCCTAATGCTGGGGCCAATCTGACTCCCAAAACCGTGCCTCCTGCATCTGCAGCAGCAGCGACTGTAGCAGTGTCCGCAGCACCAGCTGCTCCCTCGCCCGCAAGTAAAACAACAGTGAAATCACCTGCTGTGACATCATCAGTGAGAGGAGCAGCAGCTGCAGCACAGCAGCCAAGGCCTGTTGTTGCAGCAAGGTGCAAGGTGGGGGTTGAAAGCGCAAAGGGCAAGAGTGGGTGCAGCAGCAAGGTGGTGAGCATGGGTGTGAAGGGTGGTAAGGGCAGCAGCACTCATGCAAGCTCTGCCCCATGTGCAGCAGCAGCAGCAGCAACAGCAGCACCAGTTGTGGGATCACGTGGTGGTGCATCATCAGTGAGAGCAGCTGGCAAGGCCAGCAGCAGGCATGCGAGTGGGGTGAAGAGGAGAGAGGAGGGTGGGTGTGGGGAGGGAGCAGCAGGGAGGGCAGCGGGTGGAAGGCAGGGTGGTGTGAAGGCAGCAGGTGGCAGAGCAGTGGCAAGTGGCGTGTGTGGCAGGGAGGGGGTGAAGCAGCAGGCGGGGAGGAGAGAGGGTTTGGTGCATGAGAGGCAGGCAAGGCCAGGCTACAGCAGCAGCAGGGCGCACAGAAGGAGCTCCTGAAAGAGCTGGGATAGCAATGCCTGCACTCTACTCCCAACTGCTGTTGGGGTCATACACTGTACAAACTTAGGCTACAACTCTGAATGGTGTGTTGGAACAATGGTGACAGACACCAATGGAACATACCGGTATCCCAGCTGCTGTTAGGCAATGATGTGTACCATGCATATTGTTAGAACAGGCTCGTTACTTGTAATCAATACAATCTATATTACCACAAACGTTTGCCTTACACAAATGCCAGAGGATTGCCTTGCCAGATGTTTTTTTTCTGGCTGCTGCTGACTATTCATTGATAGCTTGTAGGGACTACCTTATCTGTCAATTATTATTTGTGGACTAGTCACGGTACCACCAAACTGAACCATCAACTATGAAAAGCGAACTGATGCTTTTTTGGGTACTAAACAATCAGTAAGCAAGCACATCATTTCTCTCGAGCACACAAGGTTCCTCAGCTGGTGCAGGAAGCAGCATGCAGAAGGGGTGAAGCAGTGGAGTGGTGTGGCAGTTAAAGGGTTCAGCATGTTGGAAACAATAAGTCTTAGTGCGCTTCTGTCGTGTCAAAACCCAAGACACTAGCGAAGCAGTCCGAATCGAAGCATCGAGTCAAACCTCGGAGGTTAGGGTAACCGCCTGGAGGTTACGGGAAAGTCAAAGGTCAGCGACCTTTGACTCGACAATTACAGCGCGACAGTTAAGGACACACAACTGACTCGTTACAGAGCAGTTGCCCGAGTCGCACTGTATCGAATCGCAACAGCAAATACAGTTATCTATCCATTCGTATTCCCTGTACTCTTATATAAAACCTTGTATTTGCTTGTTTAATTTAATCTACTTTGCTCTCACACACTAGTGCAAGGTCGGTTCACAAGTTTCATTAAACGCTTCCGCTATTACAAATATCCTACCCAGAGTTATCCTCTGCAAAGATCCTTAAGGGCTTTCTCAGCCCAACATGGTATGAGAGCTGACAGGGGAAAACTCTAACTTTTTTTTAAGATCATTACAAGACATGGCAACAAACAAGGAAAGGAGCTCCCCTAATGGCTCCTCGGGCACTACTCCTACTCCACCGCCAGCCTCTGGCCTGCAGACAGAGGAAGGCACGGCAGCAAGACCAAGGGGAACGTCAACCGAGACCCCCACGAACCATCCTTCTGACTTCGACCAGAGCATGATGGAGAAATTCTTCTCCTTCATGTCCTTCTACGAGCAACACCAGCAGTCGGGATTTGCACAGACACACAACAGCAAAAACGGAGCAACACCTATGAGCCTTGACGGGTCGTCATATGCGCGAGGGAATCAACAGCAGCAACCCACCTTCGCCCCGTACGAGCGCGGGTCGATCAGCTTCCTGCCTCAACCTCCACCTGCGCAAGACAAACCAATGGACGCATTACAAGTTCAGTCGCAATTCGCGCATGTCCTGAAACTGCAAACATCAAGACCTTTCGACGGAAAGGACTTCTTCACCTGGTCCTTTGAATTCGAGCTGATGATGGAGGGCGCGCAGATACTCGGCTTCTTCGACGGATCCCTGCAGTATCCAGCAAACGGCACACAGTATGAGAAGCAGCAGTATACGTATCAATCGATGATGGCGTATACTATTCTACTAAGAAACATCACACCAACTCAGCAGCAGAACATTCGCTCTTACCGGAACTTCGGCAACTCGGCGGAACTCGCGTACGGCCATCTGAAGAACCTGTATCAGGCAACAGACAGTGTAAACCAGAGCAGGTTAATGGCGCAGTTGACAACAGTTGAAATGAAACTAGGGGAAAAGGGGTTGGCGTATATCAGCCGATGTCGCGAATTGCGCGACAAGCTTCTTCGATGCGGAGGATCAATCTCTGAAGACGCCTTCGTAACAGTCGTCATCGGTGGCCTCGGTCCTCAGTGGCGCGCCACCAAAGCAATTCTTCGAGCACACGGGAGGATCTCCGAAGCGGCACTCTGCGCCGAAATCCACGCCGAGCAGCAGGATATGGACCTGCAAGAAGAAAGGCACAAGAAAAGGGCATTAGCACCGGAGTTCGCTTTCCATACTCAACGACGACACAACAACTACAACAACCGATAGCAGCAGTCGAAGCCAGTACCTCCGTTTTGTCACATCTGCAAGACATCAGGACACCCACGCACGCATTGCCCGTCTCGTCAGACAACACCACAGCGACAACTTCGGCCTTCAAGCTCACAAGTTGCGTCAACGCAAGCAAGTCCGACAACAACGATTCAAGCTTCAACGACTTCAACTGGACAACCTGCACAAGGAGCAAGAAACATAGTCAACTGCATGGTAAAGATAAACGATTCTTGCATAACAGAGTCACCACCCCATTACTCACCAGAAGAGGAGTTCGATAACAGGACGCCTCGTCGCGAATCACTCCACCCAAATCCGACTTACGCCGCCATCGCTCAAAGTGAACCGTCCGGCCAAGACACTTGGTTCTTGGATAGTTGCTGTGGGCAACACATGTGCTCGTCCGGACGCTTCGTACAACGCGAATACCGACTCCAATGAGAAGTTGTCATCACGGTCGCCAACAATCAAAACCTGCGCACACGACGACAAGGAGTGGTACAGCTTCAGTCAAGAGAAACAAATGTCATACTGCACATGTCAAAGGTACTCATCGCTGAAGGACTCGGTTACAACTTACTGAGTGTTAGCCAGTTGATGGCGAAGGGGATTCACCTGGAAGCCGACAGCACCACCCAAGAGTTCAAGCTATACCACGGGAGAGGCGGCCTCTACATCGGGAAGGCAGTGCTGAAGAACAACGTCTTCGTCCTCGACTTCGTTCCTGACCTGGGCACTGCAGACAGCGACGCCATCGTGAACTTTACCGACTGGACACACCCTCCGGATCTCGACTCCGACTTCAGCCCGGGAGGTTTCTGGTACTCCCACACTATCCCTGAAGCAGAACGAACACGAGCGTTAGCAACGATTCAACAAACACCAGAAGCAGAGACAACATCGACAGCAGCAACAACATCGGCAGCAGCAACAACATCAGCAGCAGCAGGAACAACGACACCAGTCACAGTCGACGAAGCACCACCAACACCCGCGCAACAGCTGAATCCGACTCAACGTGAAGTCCACCGAAGCGCCAACTTTGTCGCCAGTTTTTACTCCAACTCCGACGCATACCAACGTTCACCCAGACACCGCGCCTCTGAAGAGATCTGGCACGCACGCACAGGACATCCAAGCAACACGGTTTTAAATAACACGATAAGAGCAGGAGTTCTTGACAAAGACTCCCTACTTCTACCCGATGGCAGAGAACTCCAGAAGGCACGAGGGACTTGCCTTATATGCCCCGAAGCTGACTTACCTCATCGACCGTTCGCTCCACATCACAACCTGAGCGCTCCAGCGTACGCACCACTCGAAAAGGTCTACAGCGACATCCTCTACAATCGCGAACCCGGACAAGTCAACTACAACTACACCATCACCTTCATCGACGCTGCCACTCGATACGTCTGGCATTGCAATCTACCCAGCCGCGACATGGCACTCGCAGCATTCGCCGCCTGCCTACCGATAGCAGAGAGAGAGTCTGGAACACAACTGAAAAGCTTCCAGTCAGACGGAGGTGGCGAGTACACCTCTCAGCGCTTCAAGCAGTTCCTGGCGGAAAGGGGGATCAAGCAACTCCTCTCCCTTCCCTACGCACATCAGCAGCAAGGTGTTGCAGAAAGAATGAACAGGACCCTGCAGAACAGCATGCGCAAACTGTTACGTGGCATGCGGCTACCCAACCACCAGTGGCCAGCAGCAATGGACCATGCTGTCATGCTGCACAACTTGTTGTCGTCGTCGTCACTCCCGAACAACGCATCACCGCATCTGCTGTGGACAGGGAAGCAGGGCAGCACAAAAATGTTACGAGTCTTCGGGTGCATGGTACAGTACAGACCCCCAGAAGCACGAGCGGGAAGATTTTCGCAACGGGCACAGTGGGGACTACACCTCGGCATCGAGAAAAATTACAACGCGTGGAGAATCTTCGACGTCCACACAAAAGAAACAGTAGCAGCACGAGATGTGATCTTCTACGAACGACTCACCCTTCAGACGTACCTCGCCAACTTGCACGAGAATCGGGACCTCACCAGTGGCTTTCGTGGTGACCGAGCCTTCGCGTCAGCAGCGGATGAAGCAGACTGGGATGAGCAGAACGTCGACAACGCATCGGAGGAAGCCGGACCTCTTCCGTACTGCTCCGTCGACGTGCCCATGGATGAGGATAATCCTCGCGGCAGTAACAACGCCGAAGTCTTCTACCATTTCGCCGACAACGGTTACGTAACACCTGCGACAGTCACCACCAACGAAGCAGAAAGGGTAGGGCCAAATTTCATACCCGACCCAGAAGCGGGAGACGAAGCAGCTTATCCCGAGGATCCAGAACTCCCTCGATACTCACAGACTGGGCTGCAAATCCTTGGTCTCGTCACCGCAGTCCATGGCGCCACCATTCCTAAGGAGCCTGCGACGGTTCAACAGGCTATGGGGGGGGAACATAAGGAGAAATGGCGTGAAGCCATGGACAAAGAGCTGAAGGCACTGGAGGAGCGCAACACCTGGAAAATCGTTCCCATCGGCGTAGCACAAAACAAGACTATTCTTACCGGAAAGTGGGTCTTCCGTGTGAAGACGAAAGCTGACGGCACCATCGACAAATTCAAAGCTCGCTGGGTCGTACGCGGCTTTGACCAGGAGCACGGAAGAGATCACACCGAAACCTTCGCTCCGGTCAGCCGTCACACCTCACTCCGAATCCTCATCGCCGTCGCCGCCATGAAGAAAAAGAAACTGCGACAAATCGATGTCGCAAACGCATTTCTCTACGCACCTGTGGATGCAGAAATCTTCGTCGAACTCCCGCACGGCTCCCACGGCGAACCCAACCGAGTCTGTCAATTGCTTAAGTCGCTCTACGGGATCAAGCAGGCACCGCGAC